GGCTGCGGTGTCACCCGGAATACCAAGGGGCGTACATGCAGTTGGGGAACGCTGAGGGAGACTGCCAAATGTCGGTCTTCAGAATCTGCTCATGTCGAATGCCAGAGAGACGTAGTACAACAACAATGGCTAATGAAGATCGACGGAACGACGATGAAGATATCCGTCAGCAACGGAGTCCCTACTCATTGTGAACGAAGCAGTCAGACAGCACCATGTCAAAATATTACGTCAAAAAACTGCATGACAACGACATCGCCAATGGAAGATGACAGTCGAAAATTGGAATATATCCTCATTCTGAGGGAATGAGCAAAATGTATTCATGAGGCCAAAAAGCGCCAACTCCACAATGTTAGACTCTCGTCAACGAAGCGCCAAGGCTCTGGAATCCTGAATATATGCGGGTGGAAGCTATTCTACTTAGGTCTTGATATCACCCCGCGGGCTCAAGACCATACTGCTGCTCTGGAAGAACCCAACCAAGCAGATACTTGGAAGATTGTCGGCGGAAGAGTGGTAATCCTCTGACTGAAGCTACAACAGGCGAAAGAGTTGATCTTCGTAAAGGTCTATGCGGCAAATCCGAATGCAAAATACGATTCTTTTCTTGAGGAAGTGCAGTATGTCCTGTGCTAAAATCCGAGCACGGAGTCCCCCATACACAATCGTCATTTTAATGCGCATGTCCGGGTAGACGCTGAAAAATGGAACGAATGATTAAGAAAAACAACCCTAGCGATCTCAACAATAACGCCACTTATGTGCAAACAACGGACTGTCCATTAATACCGTTGTGAATCGAAGAGTGCATCAGTATACCTGGTACCTGAAAGCTTGTGAATAGAAGTGGATGATCGACTTGATAACCGCATCGTCTGACTTAAAACGCTCACTAATGGATGCTCGCGTAACGAGAGGCGCAGAGATATCAACCAATCATCACCTTGTTGTTGGAAAGCTGCGCTGTACGAAATAGAATACCGTACGAAGATCGGGTGGCAGAAGCAACCAGCGAAACAAACGGGAGACATTATCTTAGGTGGACACAAGAGCAAAATTTGCGAACAACATCGCACGACGGTTTGATCAGATCCCGGTGATGATCACTGATGTGGAAACCGAGTGGTAGCTCTTTAAGAGCGGCATACTTGAGGCTGCCGCCGAATGCTGTGGTCATAAACGGGTTGGCCTGCCGCCTGGAGGTCAGAAAAGATCTTCATGCTGGACACGAAAGGTACAGCTGGCAATTAAAAAGAAGAAAGCAGCGTTCAAGAAATGGCTTGGAAACAAGGAGTCATCTACTCACGTGCGATTTGTAGAAGCACGCAAGGCGGCAGCGAAAGCAGTGCCGAAAGCCAAAACTGATTAATGGATAGGATAGTCAGGAGTTGCCAAGGCGACGGGTTAATCGATGTAGGAGATGTGAAGACGAGAAGGTTGCTCTTTGTAGACGACCTTGTTTTATTAGCATCTTCTGAAACTGATCTTGAGTGCTCCTTAGAG